CCCTACACCCCAAATGTAGCCTGGCTCCTACCACTTTCCATCTCATCTCCAAAGCCTGCCGGCACCCTAAACCAAGGGAGCTTCTCTACCAGCTGCAGTGGACACAGCTGAGGCGCCCAGCTCCCACACTGCCGCCAGGAGTGGCCCCGGCCTCCCTGTGGGTTCCCTTCTCCACCTGAAACCTTCCTCTGGCCCCTGGGAGACCAGACTGCTCTGCCCAACCCAGGCCTTTCTTCCCTGCCTGTCAGTCCCAGCAGGCCGCCTGCCACAGAGACCTGCTTGTACCCCGGCGCCCTCCTGAGCAGCAGGCCATGAGCCAAGTGCAGCACAGGGGAGGCAGAGCTGGCTCCCGGGAGCACCCTGAGGCTTCTCTCCCAAGAAACTGGAGCCGCCTGCCTCACAACCCCAGAAGCACTGAGATGAGAAGATGCAGCTCTGCACAAGGGTGGAAGGACCTCTTCCTCCCTCTCGTGCACTGTCACACTGGGCCAAGCTGGGACAGCTGGGCTGTCCGAGGATCCCTCGGGAGAGTGGCTATAAAAAGAGCCGTGCCCAGGACACCAGTGTTTGGAGAGCAGAAGAATCGAATCGATCCAAATAAACACTGAAAATTGGGGGGCTGGGGTTCAGATCCGGAGCATGGGGTTTCTGGGCCCAGGAAGGTTAGCAGATGCCAGGGTGTAAAATTCCCAATTAACCCTCCTTCCTCTCCGACCCCTGCTCCAGCCACCAGCCTAAATGCTGCTCTGGGCTGAATTCTCTATTGCATCTTGAGGTTTCTGAGAAATCTCTACACTTTGCTCAATCACACCCACAGCTCTAGGACCCAGTGCTCAGTTGGTTCCCACCTTCACTCTTAGGTCTCCTGGGGGTTCAAGAACCCTCTACCCACCTTAGTGTCATGCCTACACACAGGGTCAAAAGGAAGGTCAGTCAGTTTCCGGCTGAACTGGGGAAAAACTTTCCTCACCCGGGCCAGGCGGCAGGAAGGGAGGGTGCAGGGCGTGCCAACCGCCCCAGCTGCCCTCAATGAGGGCCATAAACTCTGTCCCGACAGATGCGTCTCTCCTGCCACTAGCTGGTTTAGTCTAAGCCACTTCGTGTAAAACCCACGAAGCAGAGGAAGGATGCTAAAAACATAAGATTTAAGCCACAATAATGAAAAGATTTCCTAGAATAAAACACCGATTACAGAACAAAGTAGGAGAAACCCAAGCTTCCCGAAGTTTACATTCCTTTGCGCAGGGGAAAGGGTGGGACCCAAGGCTTTGGAGCAGCAGAAGAAGCAGGCAGAGAGGGTCAACCCCAGGGAGGAGAGAGAGGACCTTCTCCCGGGCCTTCGTTCTGGCTAACCTGGAAGCACTGGGCTAGTCCAGACTCATTTCAATGAACCCCACCTTTCCTTCCCGTGTGAGAGAAAAACCAGAATCTGTGTGGTTACGGGAGTGGAAGTCAGTGGAGAGGAGCTCCCAACTGTAAGAAGGGGGTTCTCAGAGCAGAAAACCGGCTAAACAAAGCCGTGCTTCAGAGGCACTCATGACTTTGCTTTCAAACCTTGTCTGCTGGACCCCTGCAGACCACAGGCAGAGCACCTGCTTAGTGTCCAGCACCCCAAAATAATGAATAAGCAAGTGGTAAATAAAAGCCAGACGTTGGTATTTCGCTAGGGAAAAGGACGTGACATGGTTTGCTCAGTACATTCTTACCCAATGAGTTGGTCCCTACCCGTGATGACAGCAGACCTTGGGAGCTTCTACTGCGAGACAGTGAAAGGAGACCTGGATTTGCCACTGGCCTTTGTGGCTTGGGGACAGTCATTTCAGGGGGCTCTGAGGGGACAGGCAGCAGCGAGGACTCCATGGCAGTTTGGAGAAGAGCTCTTCCTGCTCTGTAACTTCAGGCCCCTGAGCTCCTGTCTTTCTGGACATTAGGGGCTTCAGGGGCAGTTTCTAAACCCCTGGTGAGCAGGCTGCAAGTGAGAGGCCTCCCCTGGCTCTACTGCCTTTCCAGGACCTGGCTGGGGCCCCTAACACTCACCGAATTGTAAAGTGGGCTTTCTCCTCAGTTTAGAAAGTTTAGGTGAAACAAGTACCATTGTTACCTGGATGGAGAAGGGAGCCTTAAAAATCTCTCACAATTTAACTTAGGAGCTAAACATGCAGAGAGAGGGACTTCTTTCAAAGGGTGTCCACACTACTCCTCCTAAAACCACAGACAAACTGGAGGCGTTTTGGGTAGGTCTAGGCTCCACAGCTTCCACCTATCCCAAAGAGACCCTTGACCCCCAACCGTGGGATCTACTGGCTATTTCTGGCCCCGCCTTGATTTTAAGTTTAGTGCCTTTTATTTTTGAGTCTGGGTCCCAGATTTTTTTGAGGCCTGCTTTTAAAGCAGGTCCCCCCGGGACGTTATATAGTACAATTCCCAGGCGCAGAAAATCTCAGAGGTGACAAGGAGACAGATTTGCTTGATGTTCCCCACCACCCCCACCTACAAGTGAGATGATTGTCTTTCTTCTCTGCATTCTCCTCCTCTGGCCCCATGCTCTTCCCATGTTCACAGAAACAAACACACACACACACACACACACACACACAGACACACACACACACGCTGAAGCCTGTACCCTTTTGGGTATGACCGTCTTCCCTACTATTTTACTTAGGTAATTATTTTCAGACACTCAGAGCGTTGATGTAGCATGCACAGATTTACTTCCATATGTAGTTACTTATTTTTAAATTATTTTGTGCAAAATGACAAAAGAAGATAAGAGGGGGAAATCAGCATGAAATAAATCAGAATCTGTCCCCCTAAAATGTTCACCAACCTGAAAGAAATTCTTAGAAGGTGGAAAGGACTGCAAACCCCCTACCCCAACCCAATCAAAACATCCCTTCCGGAAAAGACTGACTTGTTTCTTTTTTCTCTTGGAAATGAGTGGTAAACTGAGTTCGGCTTGGTGGTGTTTTCTTAGCTGACTCTGGGCTACAATCAGACCATTTTCGGACGCATTCCCATGGAGGTACCAGGGGTGCTCTGGGGGAAGCTGTCGACGCCTGTTCAGCTAATTTAGGTTTTCTTTGTCTAATTACTGCGGGGCTTAGGGAAAAGGAGCCGGGCTCGGGGCAGTAAACTGACACTCGGTCTCCGTGTGTGGTATCCAGGCAGGGCTTGATGGAAAAAGCCTGCTTCCACTCAACTTCAGGTCACTGTCTGGGGCCAGCCCGGCCCAGGCCTCCGCTCACACTGCCCTGCTGGCCTGCAGACCCACCAGCCCTCTGCCAGCAGCGGCCCCCAGGCTCTGGGGCACGGAGTGGCGCCAGCCCCCGAGGCCTGCTTGGCTCTGCTGTGCCCAGGGCTTTTTACAGCGCCCCGAAATCTCCCTTTTCTAGTCAACCTTCTCTGACCTCCCCAGGTCGGCCTGCACCCACCCGTTGCCCCAGGCTGCCCTGCTCATCCCCGGTGCGCAACACACACCCACACACGAGTGCACACGCGCACCCACAGGCGCGCACACAGGCCACCCCGCCAGCCCTGCACGTGTGACCCAGTGACTGGCTGTCGGGCTCATTGAAATGATGTCCCCCCCAGGGCACATCCCCGCTGGGGCGCTGGTACCCGGCAGGCCTCGGAGAACTCGGTGGCGGTGGTGAGCTCTTGCACACAAGTGAGGCAGAGACGGCACACTGGTGGCCCGCGAAGACACCGAGGTGAGGCCCTCGTGACAGCTGCGCCCTCCTGGGGACCCAGTAAATACGGCTCTCTGGCTTATCTCACGCTCGGCCTTCTTTTCTCTTCTCCTTTTCACAGAACATGAATTGAAAATCGAAAAGGAAGTGGAAGTAAACACCAACAAGAGCCCCTGTCCACCCGGGTGTCTGGACCGCTAAGCCTGGCCCAGGTTCCATCCAAACCCGAACGCGTCCTGGAGCGCAGGACCGCAGCCCTCGGACGCTGAGCTCGGCCTCCAACAGCAAGGGTCGGGCTGCAGCCCTCGCCGGAAAGAGAGCCGATTGGCACTTTACCTTTGGGCGTCCGGCACCCCGGCGTGTGGCTGAGGGCCGCGGGGCCTAAATGGAGTTGACAGCTGGTGTCAGCTCGGGCACCGGGGACGCCGGCTAGGGAGGCTCCAGGCGGCGGCCTGGCCCG